TATATTAACATATTCTACAATAAAATATGTAAGAATACAAGATTGGTTTCCTTTAAGCTGAATATATGTGGAAATAGGGATGAAGAGGTTTGTTAGTGCAGAAACTGCACCAGGAATTCAAGTAAATTATAAACTGTTACTTTGAATTATCATCTGTAAAAAGTACTTTTATGTGAAAATCATTGTTATTCCAGAAAGAATTACTTTGAGCTGTTTCTAGTACTTCCAGGAATTTTTGGCATGAAAATGATGACTAAAAGGTATGTCTGATGGTCTGGAACTAGATCTGATAGTGAAAAACATACAGTGCTGCATTTGAATGTCTATTATCACCACAGAGAGTGCCAAAAAAAAAAAAAAACCCACAGCTCAAGAATTCTTACTATTGATTTGCAGAGCTACTTTTAGACATGACTTTGAGTTGAGAATGGCACCAAGTATTCACCAATATTTCATCTCCAAACATTGCTGTGATAATCTGAGATGATCATTACTCACCATATTTAATTCACAATTGCTTTAAGTTATATGTCTTCTTTTGGTTTTGATGAAATTAATTGTGGAACAGTCTTTACCTACCTTTACACTTTTGTATATCATGTTTTAAAACAGCGAGTTTTACTTACATGTGCACTTGTTCTCTAGTCCAGTGACTAGATCCATAATAGTGAATACAGTTGATATTTATATTGTGTAAATGCCAAACATATCTCACTTTGATGCAAATATGTATGACATGATGAATATAGCTGAATCTAAAGAGAGATGTGCTCCACAAAGACAGTATTTATAAATTGGCTGTGTATTAACCCCTTACTTTAATGCTTCCCTAATTTTTTTTGGCACTAGTTGATAGTCTATTAATATCCATATTTTTAAAATTGAATCATCAATATACTCCCATGGCTATTACTAAATAACTTCTTTTTAAGTTTTCAAAATGTGTACACCATCACCTTGATTACTACTTTATATGGAGTTGATATAAATAATTAAATATATACTGCATATTATTTATTTTCCATTTACACTGAAAATAAGTTAAAATCACACTGTAGTTTAAGTGTAAATAAGATGTACTATTATTACTACTACTACAACCAGTCATAGTTATTACTACTAACAATATTATCACCCATTTACTAATCACTTCACAATGATATTGTTTATTATTACTGCCTTCATTTTTATAGACTAGAAACAGGAGCCGAGAGATCAAGCAATTTGCTTAAAGGGACACACTTAGTAAGTAATAAATCTTAGTGTCAATCATACTAGTCTAATTTTAGAATCCAGGATTTTTACTATCACTCCTGCCACCCTACTTAAGCAAGTATCCTTGTCTATAGTAGGTAAATAGTATCACATTCTCTTCTAAAATAAATACATGAACTCGCTACTATATTTGTTTAGATTTAACTTTCTTGAGTCCAGATTAGCTTTGACATTTGCAGACATGGGTTAACTTTTACCTCACTGCAAGATATAAGGCAACCTGGTATTCAGTTTACCTACAAAAGGCATTTAGGGCTCTCTAGAGGAACCTAATTAAAATGCAGCACATTTCCAAGACACCATGTCTTGCTGTGTTTCCATAGAAACGGTGGGAATTTCTGGTCACTGACCTTTGAGGGAATATGAGGATACATTTTCATAAGGTTCCTAAGAGGAGTTTTGGAAATTCTTTATGCAATCCTATTTGACATTAAAAGTATATCAGCAAAACTTACTGGAGGTTTTCAGTAGGACATTTTCTGAAAGGTTTTTTAAAACTGCTTCCCATATGACATCTGTGTTATTGAATTTAAAATAATTAGATATACTGTTGTAGCACTAAAGAAACATTGAAAGAAATCTTAGAAAAATATACAAGAGATATTGGAACTAAAATCATATTACTTTTAGTGATACGTCTATTCTCTTGCGTTTGGAGTCTTCAAATCTAGACTTACTCGAGAATAACATATAACATTACCATATAAAAATATAAACCCATAAAATGAAAGCTTGTTATAAAACATTAAGGCATTAATATTACTTACAAATATAAATGTCTCAATTTATGCTCTTACCTGTTTAATTCATTTATAAATTCAGTCACTAGATTACTAAATATGTATATAAACATCTTAGTTATACTTTATATTTTTGAGCCATTTAAATTATGTCATGTACCCATTATTCAACAGATAAAATGACAGCTATCTTTACTTTAGACTGCTGTTATTATATTAGCATTTTCTCTTCCAAAAATATAAATAACTTAATCATTAGGCTATGCATCATTTAGTTAAAAGGAATTATCAGGCAAAATTATACTAATTTCTCCTGGACTTAGGAATATTTATCTCTATAAATCACTTATTCTAGGCATAGACACCTGAAGAAAACTAGAAGTATACTAATAATTATATGTAGGAAAGTGAGGTTACTACCCCATGCCTTAGACTTCTGGGTGGTCCTCTTACATAGCTGGATGCCCTCACTCTGAGAGACAGTGTGGCCAAGGGGCTAAGATCAGAAAGACTCCAGATTGATACTGATATAGAATTCTTGGCTCTGCCACTTACTAGGGGTGTGGGAGAAATCTACTAGCCTGGGAATGCTTTAGTTTGCTCATTTGCAAAGTGAGGGTAATCAAGGAAATTGTAGGGCTGTTTGGAGAATTAAATGAGTTAATATAGATAAATAACATAATATCCATATTGAAACATGGCAGTCAACAAAGATCTGCAATTCCAATTGGAAAGGCAGTGCAAACAAGGACATGCAGGACTGGTGCACTTTTTCCCAAAACGGAAAAAAGGAAGAGTAGGATGAGCTCCTTCCAGATAAAAGCTGAACGTCATCTGTATGGGGACAGAGGAGTAGTCCACATTTTCAGTTAGATGTTTTTCTTTCTTAGCATGGATACAGACAGCCCTGTCTCTGAGAAATAATGGTTATCCTTGAAGGTGTGGGGTGTGTGTATGTGTTTCATCTAATAGTTCAACTGGAGAAGTCAGAGTATGAATATATTTGCATCTCATACTTGTGGGGAGCTTTTGAAAAATATCCAAGTGTAACATCAAACCACGTATTAGATTGTTGTGTTGACCCGTTTTGCATGTGAAACATGTGCATGTGAGACCATGAAGCATGTGAGATTGAATAACTGAGACTTGGATGAATACTATCTGCAAATAGAGCTAGTCCCAGACTAATGTTCAGGCCACTTGTCAGGGAATTGACTCCGAGTAGATGTGGGACAACCAGCCTTGGGCCCTTTGTATAAGTTTGTAAGTGCTTGGCCAACCTCAGCAGTCAAAATGTTTATCATCCCACGGTAGTTTCTATGCACATATTAATACAAAAATATTTGTACAAAGAAAATTTCAATTTCTCATGTTTTTTTCACTAGGAACACCTGTTTTACCTAAATCAAACAAGGGACCACTTCTCTTCAGTTTCAGACCACATAGGCACTTTACCACCCTTTAGTAGTCTCTTTCCAACTAGACAAAAAGGAAGTTTCTATGGTGACCATGCTTATGTTCATTCCTCCTTCCTTCCTTGCCAAGGCCCAATATACATCAAATTACTCATAATTACATAAAAGCTGCCTAGCACTTCTAGAATATCTCTTAAAACTATACTTTCTACTGGTGACTTTTTAAAATGCCATTTTCCTCATGAATTATTAAAGAAATAAAATAATTTTCAATTAATTTATATAGGGGTTTTCAGAGTCGAGCTTATGAAGAGTTCATGGATCTCCCCTGAATAGAAAAACCTTTCCTAAAGAAGTATCCTAGAATTAATATACTTGGCATATTTTAAAAGCATTCATGAGGTTTTTTATAAATCTAAACACTTGGCGTTTCTTAAGATGAGTCTCTGGTAGTTCCTGAGATGTTTAAAGGTATTTCCTGGGGGGAAATGATTTCTGATCTTTATTTTGAAAAGGAAATGTTGAAGTAAACAAAGTTCACCAGATTCCTTCGGAATCTTCAATGTGCTAATGGGTCTTATGAATAACTAAACAAGCTCATATCTTAGCTTTCTTCTCTGGGACCCACTTTTTCAGAACAGCCTTTTAACATACTGTTCAGGACCTGGACACTCGAGGGTCCTTGGAGTCTTTCAAGAATCTCATGAAGCACCAGAATGAAGCCAGTGACAAAGTTTATTAGGAAGCGGCCGACCGAACAGTGCAGAAGCAATGGACTGTTTCAGAAGGCGGGATGGCAGCACTCAGTACTAAAGCAGTAGGGCTTTTAAGGTTTTTCCTTGGTGGCTGGGGAAGGGTCCCTCTGAATTATGCCTACCTTGCTCTCATCACTCCTGCCAATTTTCCAATTAGGGACTAATTGGAACTGTCCTTCCCTCCTCCTTTTTGAGTGTGTGTAGATGAGTGGGAACTGTAGCTAAAAGATTCCTCTCAAGCCTCCCAGACCTGATCTTGTCCTTGAAACAGAGAGCCACAGCTCGAGTGTGGGATGGCAGAAATGCAGCTGTGCTCCCCTGGAGGGGGTGGGGGGACTGGGTGAGAGCCCTGTAGTGGAACAGCATCAGGCACAACAGAATATGCTTTGGGCAGGGTTGCTTCAGGCAATTCCAGAGTATGGGGTTAATATTCCATCTCCTTCTGTTTAAGTTCTGTAAATTTTAACTTCTTCCAATGGTTGTCAAGAACTTTATATCTAAGTTCATTGTGTCAATTCTTATTTCATGTGCTTTATAAGCATGATTTTATTATTAACATGAGATGGGATACCATAAAATATTTTTATATTAGAACATTTTATTTGCCACCATTTATATACAAGCACAATTTAATAAAACACATCACAAAACAGTAAGATTTCATAGTTACTATTTATAGGTGCATAGTTTCATGCTCACATGTCCTTAAATATTATTGTATATATTAACAAATTTCACAATACTTATTCTTAGACAGAAAGACTCATTAAAGGGCACCTAAAAATCTTACAGGATCATAAATCACAACTTCTCAACAACAGCAACAAAAATATAGTGAGGATTTAGAAATAAGTGGTAGTCACTTAGGTGTTTTTAATTTGTTTTAACATTTTAGATTTGATGCCACAATAGCCACAGCACACAAAGGATCCTGCTACCATATATTCACTTCAGTGATGGGGAAGCACCGAAATGCTGAGTGAGGGCAGGTACAGATTCTTCAATCACTGCTGATGGAAGACTTCAAAATACACTATAAAAACTTTGAGAAAATATCATGACTGGGCGCATTGGAACTAGGTACTTGTACAGGATGGAACATCTGTCAGCAGATCTCAGGAAATTGAGAGCAAAGATATTTCTTAGGCCTCAGGTTCGTAGTCTTGGTATCCTTCCTAATATTAGGAAAGTCAAAAAGACAACATGCAGCATTAGTGGAAGTGATCAGCATACAGGGCTTTACTGCAAATGAGATAGGCTGTGGCTCACCACTCTGAATAAATGTTACCTCATAGCTGTTCTGGAACTCTTCTGCTACTCTGAGATAATTTTATATTTTTAAAGTTTTTTTCTTGCTATCAAACATAAAAGTAATAATGTTGGTGGTCAGGGTAAGAGTCTCTATTCTGTTTCAGATGTGCCTTTTAACAATCATATAATCTAGATCTATAGATCAAATTAATTGGCCTATGTGGAGAGTGGGTAATGACTGAACTGCGAAACCAAATCAAGTGGCCTAGAAAATGTAATCCAGGGCTAAGATGCTATGATTCTAGAGAGAAACTAAGATGATTAAAAGGTTGTTATGTTTTCCTTCCTTTTATCCTCTTAATTGGAAATTTCACCTTCACCAACGGCTTCTATTATTTCTTCTATTCTAAAACCTGCACATCCCCATACAATATGTGGATAACATTTAATATGAAAATATGATCTTAAAAACATAATAAGATTAGCTCATCTAAATAACAGCTTCAGTAGTATCAGAATCCTGGTGAAAAACAAGCGTAGCTTCAGTAATTCAAGTTTGTTGATGAAGAAAAGACAAACTTCAATAGCAAAGTTGTAGTACTCCAGAATTTGTATTTTACCAATCTCTTTCACAATTTTCTCAGTTTCCTAAGCTTTATTCATATTTATTTTTTTCACTTTTATGAGGTATACTAGATATAACATTATATTGGACTTAGGTGTACAGCATAATTATATGATATTTGTGTGCATTAGAAATCACAACAAGTCTAGTTACTATCTGTTACAATACAAAATGCTTTTTAGAATTTACTTTCCTGGCAATTTTCAAGCAAGCTTTACAATATTATTGATAATAGTCACCATATTATATGTAACATTCCATGCCATTTATTTGATTACAGAAGTTTTTCTTGACCCACCTTCAGTCATTTCACCCACTTCAAAAACTCCCCTCCTCTGACAACCACCATTTTGCTATGAGTTTAGTTTGTTGTTTATTGTTCTTTTTTTTTTTGCCTTTTTAAGATCCTATAAGTGAAATCATATGGTATTTGTCATTATCTGAATAGTCATTATAATAACCTCAATATCTACCCATGTTGTTGCAAATGACAGGTTTTCATTCTTTGTGAAGGCTGAGTAGTATTTCATTGTGTATAATAGTGTGTGTGTGTGTGTATGTGTGTGTGAATGTGAATTATACCTTCATTTTTATCCATAAAGGGATACTCAGGTTGTTTTCAGTCTTGGCTACTGTAAGTAAAGTGGCAATTAACACCACTTTTCATTTGTATTTTAAATTCCTTCATATAATATCCAGGAGAATTGATGGGTCATACGGTATTTTATTTTTGTTTGAGGAGTCTCCATACTGTTTTCCACAGTGAATGCACCAAATTGTATTCCAACCAACAGTGCTTGAAGTGCCTTTTTCTTCACAGCCTCAACAACACTTCCTGTGCCTTTTTAATAACTGCCATCCTAACAGGTGTAAGGTGATATCTCATTGTGATTTTGAGTTGCAATTTCCAGATAATTAGTGAAGGAGGGAGGGTGAGGAACAGGTGGGTTTCTAGGACTTCTGAATTCTAGGGGAAGTAAATAGGCCTTTTTCAATAGAAGGAAGTAAGCAAAGATGGTGTCCCCTGCCTGAATTCCCTCCACCATCTCTAGATGTGTGGTAAATCTAAGGTTTGTGCCTCTTGAGGACTAAGGCTGTGATTTAGTAGGCTGTCTTCACAATGCCTGGGAGTATCATCTGCTAAAAACTGTCTTTCCAATTGTTACAGTCTTGTTGAAGTCCAGGAGTGCAAGTCTCACTGGCCCCCAGAGCCTGGCAATCAAGGGGCATTCCCTGCTGGACTACATCTATTCTTTGATTTTAGGAGATCAGCTGGAGAGCCTGGGGGCATGCTTGCCAGCTTCAGCAGAGCAGCAGGAGAGTGCTTTTTGTACAAATGCCTACTGACTTCAGGAGGGAACAGGGGAATTACGTGACCATTCATATTAGCAGCCTAAGATAGGGAGCAGGAGTGTGCTGTGACTACCTGTATTGAATAATTGCAGTCTTCAATAAGGTAGTAAGATAGTGCTGTGACCTTGGTGCACCTGCAGGCCTTAGCAAGACACTGTGAGTGTGCTATGTCCACATGTACCTGCCTGTACTAGCAAGCTAGAAGGAAAGTACAAAATGGTATCTGTCACACCTTTGTATCTGGAGAAAGTCCCAATTGTTCCCTGTCCCTCCAGTAGATACTTTAAGACTATCAAGTGTTTTCCTTTCAGATAATCTAGGTAGTTTTCTTTTCTTTAAAAGATTTATTTATTCATATAAGAACTGGGGTACAGGCCAGAGGTGTGGTGGGTGAGAGGATTCACCAGAGGCAAAGTGGGGAACAGAACAGGCAGACCGACGGAAATACACAGCTGAGGAGAGCAGTGGGCGAGGCAGGAGAGGTCTGTGGCACCATATGGCCAGGGTCTGCTGCTCCATGGCTGGGGATCCAACTCATGCCGCAGTGGCTGCGGATAGCCTCATAGGTTGTGTCTTAATCTCTTGCACCACCAGGGAGGCCCAATCTAGGTAGTTTTCAAACTACTTCTCTTGTGCTGGGCTCCAGTATGACTGAGACCACATGCAAGCATATTTTAAAAGAAGAATCTCAGTATCCTATAGTTCTTTGGGCCCCATGGATATAATCCTATTGGTTCTCTAAGCCAGGTATTTTGTAAGTTCATCTCTTTGTTGCAGATACATGGGCTGGGATATCCTCTGATATAGCATATATACCCTTTGCTACTCCAGGAGAAGATCCAGACTTAGGAGATTCTTCCCCATTGTGGTTCACTACACTAAATGGAGTTGTTTTGTATAGTGAGTCCCATCTATACCTCTCCTACCCATCCTGATGTGCTCTTTTTATCCTTTGTTGTGGAGAATAGTTTATCTAATTTTCAGAGGGGATTGTTTAATTTCTTCAGAAGAAATTGTTCTGTATGTCTTTTTGGTATTTCCATGGGAGGAGTTTAGCTCAGGATATCTCTATACTCCCATCTTGGACTCCCCCTCATATCATATGTAATTTCTCACTGCTCCTCAGAAACATTCATATGCATTTTCAAACCAGCAGCCTTGGCTTTGTATAGTCCCTTGTGCTAGTATGTCCTCCCTTCCATTAGTCCTGTCTACCAACCATATCAATGCCATTTTTTTTCTTGAAAAGTTTTGCCATACCTTTTGGCATTTAGTTGATTGTTTTAAATTCCCATTTTGGAATTTATTTAGAACATAAAGTTTCTAGTAATATTATTCTCTAATGCAGCAACCTTTTTCTGGAAAGTGCCAGTTACTAAATCTTTTATACTCTGTAGGCTACATATGGTCTCTGTTGCTGCTGCTACTCCTGGCTTTTCCTTTTTTTACAAATGTAAAAATATATGTCCTGGATCTGGCCAATTTGTATATCTAGAGAGTAAAGCATTCTTACTAAGGAAAAACATGAAAGAAAATATACCATTGAAAACTATTTTGCATGCATATTAGGAAGAACCAACTTGAACTCTGTAACTTTATTTTCTGAATCTTATGCATAGCAACTTTTACCTCAGAAGGCATTTCATAAGCCTCGCTGTCAGGATCCACAGGCATATCTTCCAGAATTCCTTCCTGTGGGACTCCCTCTTCATTCTAATATTTAAATGGGAAGCACAAAAAGCATATGACAAGGTACCATTTTTCACTTTTTAGAAACAAAACCTTGAAAACATCTTATATGCAATACTGGCAGAAAGATTGTAAAAATGGCACTTAGTACTACTGCCAGCATTCTAAACTCTATAATGCCTTTGGAAAAGCAAGCTGGAAGCATGTATTAAACCCCCAAAATGTACAAATATTTTGCCCAAGTAGTTCACTATCCAGAAAATAGTCCAAATATATTACCCAAAGATATTTTTCATAGATTCAATTACAGTGTTAAAATTTGTTCACATAAATATTCAATGAATGATGAAGAACTAATTATCCTTTAACTACTCAACAGATTATTGTGTAGACATGTATTACCATGACATACAACACAATGAGAACCTATTTATGATGGAATGTTTAGCAAGATATAAAGTGTTACATATATCGTGGACATACATAACATGTTTAGAATTCAGAGAAGGTAAAAAGATAGGAAAACACAACAAAATACTATATATATACACATATATACACACATATATATACACACACACACAAAATGCTATATACACACACATACACATACACACACATATAATCCCTACTATGAGTGTTATCTGTCTCTATTTGGAAAAGCAACATAAAGATTATGGTTAGCTAGAAAGTGAAAAAAGCAAGAAGAGAACAGATAGATATTCAAACAATGACTGAAAACATCCCAAACCCAAAGAAATAATCGAATACACAATTCCATGAAGTTAACAGAAAACACTTATCTAAACACAAATAGATCCACACTAAGACATATAATGGGAATAGCAAGAGACCAAGAAAAAGAAATAACATTAAAGGCAGTTTTTTGGGGCAGTAGGGGTGAGGGGTGGGGAAAGCAGGAAATACACTGAAGGAATCCTATCAAATTATCAGACTTCCTAGCAGAAACCTTACTGGCAAGGGAAGAGTGAAGTAACATATGCAAAGATATTAAAAAAAAAAAAAAGCCAGCCAAGAATCCTCTATTCCACAGTACTCTTTAAAATATTAGGAAAAATAACCTTTCCAAGACAAGTGAAAACTATTCATCAAAACTTGACCTCCCTTTAAAAAATGTTGAATAGAAAAACAAAAAGGGAGGGCCTCCCTGGTGGTGCAGTGGTGAACATAGCGCTGTGAAGCTGTCCGCAGCCTCTGTAGTGCCGGTTCGATCCCCACCGGCCGCAGATCAACCCACATGGCAAGCAGACCTCTCCTGTCTCACCCGCTGCTCCCCGCTGCAGTGTATTTTGGTCATTCTTCCTGTTCTGTTCCCCACTCTGTCTCTGGTGGATCCTCTCACCCACCCGCGCATCTGGCCTATACCTCAGTTCTTGTATAAATAAAATAAATAAATAAATAAATAAATAAATAAATAAATATATATATATATATATATATATTTTTTTGGTGGGACCCTCGCCGGCGGCCGGGGAACGAACCAGCGCTGCAGAGGCTGCGGGAAGCCTCGCAGCCCAGCGCTCAACCGCTGCGCCACCGGGGGAGGCCCTAAATAAAATAAATCTTAAAAAAAAAAAGAAAAAGAAAAAGGGAAAGGTCACAAAAACAACTGAATTAAGAAACATAAAACAAAAGATAAAACAATAGTGGCAAGCCCTCATGTATCAATAACAACCCTAGATATAAATGGACTGAAACCACCCATCAAAAACAGGTGAGATGTTAAAATAATAAAGTCAAACATGTATTTAAAATAAAGTGATGTAAATTGATACGCTAAGTCAATGGGTAATTTAAAAAGACAGGAACTCAGATAAGAGACTTATAGCCAAAAAAAGAGAGAAAGATGGAACATTATATCACGATAAAGGGATCGATAAAGATAGAGATCGATAAAGACAGAGATCAATACAAGAGGAGATAATACATATGCACCCAGAATAGGCAGACCAAAAGGGAGACACTGTCAGCAGCGAAGTAATGGGGATAGAGATCTTCACACCACACTTACAGTAGACAGCAGTAAACAGATCATCCAGAGAGAAACTTAGCAAGGTAGTTTCACTGGTATGAAAAATATAGAGAAATCAACAAAGGATCAGACAACAACAAACTGTAAGCCTGATCCTTAAATGCAGACTATAGACCTGAGACATTAAGAAAGGGAGTGAAGCCAGTGTGTGCTTAATTTAAGCTGTAAAAAGGAATTCACAGACTTTCAGATAAGTAAACAGAGAGAAGTGAACTTTATTCAAGGAAGTGAGAAAAGTTTATTTAGAGGAAAAAGAACAAAGGCAAAGACTCCAAGCAGCACTGCCAAGGAGGGGCAAAAGATGCCATTATCGGCCTGTGTCTAGGGGATATTTAAACTTTTTTTCTTCCTACTAAAATCTCATCATCCTATATTGTGACAGGCTCTTTCACCTCGTCCCAGCTCTTAGAGTTTACCTCCCCTGTCCACGGTCTTATTCTCTCAAGTTTTACTGTCTTTGTTTAGTCCTCCTGGACTTTCTGACCTCATCTCTGGAGTGTGTTTTTGGTGAGCACTGCTTACACTGTTCTTTATCTCAGAACTCTCCTTAACACTCCCGAAGTCCCTGCCTGCACTGTCCCTGAAGCTGCCTAATTAACCCTAACTTGTCCTGGGACTCAGGAGGCAAGAGGGAGAGAGAGAGAGTAGAAAAGGGGGGGGGGGGTCGAGCACAATGGACTATGATGAAAGACTATGGGTCCTTTGATGGTGGGAAAACTATGGTGAAACCTAAAGGCAGAAATCCTATATTGCAAAAAAATACGCAAGGGTGATAACCAACTAACTAAATAGTGAATCAATGAAGTCAAAGTAAAGAAAGTTATGGCCTTAACTGACAAATCAGATGAAATAGTCTTAATAGATATTTAACAAATACTCCATTCTAAAGCAAAAGCACACACAGTCTTTTCAATTCTCAAGGATGAACCATATGTTGGAACATAAAACATGTCACAATGAATTTATGAAAACTGAAATATCAAGCTTCTTTTTGAATCATGATGGTGTAAACTAGAAATCAACTGAAAAAAGAAAGGGGGAAATAACAAACACATGGAGAATAAACCGAATATTACCAAACAATGTTCAAAATCACTTATTTTTAGGGGTCTCCCCGATGGCACAGCAAAGACCTCTCCTGTCACACCCGCTGCTCCCCTCAGCAGTGCTTTCAGTGCGTCTACCTGTTCTGCTTCCCACTCTGTCTCTGGTAAATCCTCTCACCCTCCTGTGCCTCTGGCCTGTACCTCAGCTATTGTATAGATAAAAAATAAATCTTAAAAAAAAAAAATCACTTAGTTTTAAAGAAATACATATTGAGATCACAATGAGATATTTCACACCCGTGAATGACCCATATAGAAAAGATCAGAAACAGCAAGTTCTGGCAAGGGTGTGGAGAAAAGGGAACCCACAAACACTACTGGGGGAATCCAAACTAGTCCAGCCCATATGGAAAGCAGTATGGACCTCGGAATATTAAAATCTCAAAACATTAAACACTCAAAACATAAAAAATGGATCTGCCTTTTGACCTATTAATTCCACTCCTAGGCATCTACCCCCAAATTCAAAAACTCTAATTTGAAAGGAAATTTTCACTCCCACGTTTATTGCAGTACTGTTTACTATAAATTATGGAAACAACCTAAGTGCTACAGAAAAGATGAGTGGATCAAAAAGATGTGGTATAAAAAATATACAGTGATCAAATGTGTAATATTATTGATCAAAAATTGATAAATTCATGCCATTTGTGGATGAAGCTGGAAGGGAAAATGCCAAGTAAAATATGTCAGGAGAAAGATAAATACTGAATGGTGTCAGGGATATGTGGAATATAAACTAACTAAACCAATACTCATATAAAGATGAGCTTAAAATCTAACCCTTGATAGCTGACTGCAGTACTGAAGCACTAGGAGGAAGAGGGGGAAGGGAGCTGTTTGAACAAAGAGAGATGAAAGCACAATGGTTTAAAATGGTAACACTTTTTGTTTCAATGAAATCAATAATTTCCTGGATGTTTAACAACTATCACCGTGTCACAAGAAGAGACATAAACTTCCAGAAACCTTTACTCACTACAGAAATAAATATGTTGCTTTCACAAATCTGACTGCTAAACTTTTATGGTTTCTTCTTTACAAAATGAAATTATTGATGTCATTGAAACAAAATCTTATTTTAGTAAGAAATTATCATCATGATCTTTAACTGTATTCTATTACATGAACTGGAGAGAGCACGCAGAACTCCTGTGAGGGAGACGCTACTGATATTTCCTCAAGGTAATTTGGTGTTAGGTTTAGAATTATAGTGGTGCCAGTGACTCAGACTCTGTTCCATTAACCACCATCCTTGGTTTCATCCCCAAGAGTTTTGACATTTGAAATGTGTACTTTAATTGAATTATCTATAGATTTCAGTAACCAAGAAATAGGGTATTATATCACATCATTGACTATGCTGTCTTTTCCTGGTAAGTGAATTTATCACAGTTTGACTGCAGAAACCCATAAAGGAAGTTAATTCACAGAACTGCATATTTTATGGGGCTATTACATATTTTATACCATAAGAGTTTATCAGGAAGGGAAAGAACAAAAATGACAATTTTCTTCATCAAAATTCTGTGATGAGCAACCTAATGTGTGTGGGGAAAATAAACAAACACCTGAAGGGCATGACTAGGGAAACCAGTGAGGATCAGAGAACTCTTGGGGATGAAATGGCAGTATAAAAGATAAGCACCCCACATCTTTAAGAACAGGAATAGGTAAAATTCAATTTACTACTTTCTACCCAGAACTGTAATATAACTTCATCATCTACCCTGTCCTTCACTTATATCCTATTGTCCCTAAATTTTTACTTGAGGTTTGCTACACAGTGATCAGAATAAGATACTACAGGATGAGAAAGGCACAGCAAAGGTAGGTGAGGGGTTAGATTATGGAGGCAATAAAAT